ACAGGAGTTTTACTTTTAAACTGTACATGTATTTAATTTAGTTGTGCTAGTTATGATAATTTAGTTATGATGTAAATACAATAAAAATTAAATCAAGATTTAGATTAGAATAATTATCATTTTGATCTGTACATTGGTAATGTCTGACTGGGCCTCGTGCCACTTTATGTTCAACAAATTGGGCCCCGAGGTCAAAAAGGTTAAGAACCCCTGGTCTACTGCCATGAAAGGTACACAAACAGAGAATTGTGTGTGTAATGTCTTCGTTTCTGTCTGTTAGCAAAACATATTAACAACCATTAGATGGATTATAATCAAATTCTCAGAAAGTAATACTTGAATGCAGCTCTACAGCTGATTAATGTTTGGAATAAATCTGATTCAAGATGGTTGCCACAGCTAGACAACTTCAACAAGCACAAAAATGGTTATAACTCMGTGAGTTTTACATAAATTGAGCTGAAATTAGGTGTGATAGTAGCTGAGAGTTATCCCTCACATATAGTCAAAGTGCTAACAGATACACAAGATTTTTGTTTAAGCTTTTGCCATTAGCTATTGGAGTCAACTCTTGTCTGTCTGTTAGCAAAATACTGGCTGAACAACTGGACAAATTGTAACAACTCTCAAATATTAATCACTGGATGTACATTTATAGCTGATTACATTTTTGAGCCAACCTAATTAAAGATGGCCACAGTAGCTGCAGGGTTTCACTCATCAAAACACAAATCAGTGATTTTTGTTCAGGTGGGAATAAGGATTGTGTTTTTTTTTTTATTGGTGGGGGGTGGGGGTGGGGTTTCCAGTGAAAATGTTCCTTATCAGGAGTGTTCAGTGAAGGGTCGGCCTGAGTGGAGTGGAAGGTGATTTGCTGCCAGGGTTCATGTGATTGATGGATGGTGGAGGTTACAGAGGCCATTGCCATTTTACAGACAACACGTCCGTTCCCACTGACCCGCTCAACCCCCTCTTGTGCTGATAAACTGCCCGTCTTGGAATCCGATGACATTTTTTTTTTGTTTTGTTTTGTTGTTGTGGAAAAATGGGTGCACATGCCTTCAATTCATATGCAGTCACACTTTTACCTAACTGCGTTTAATGCCATTTTAAACCCGACTGTCATGACAGTGTTTTTATTTGTTTTTGTTTTTTTTTACTTTTACCCACTTGCATGAGCTTGTGAGAGTTTGTCTGCGAAAGTGCGAAACAAAACAAGTATTTGTGTGTCTGTGTGAGAACAGTTTGAAAGCTCTTGTGAAGTTACACGGAGGCAGACAAAGCGAGGAAGTTTAGCTGCTGCTCATTGTTCGAGTGCTTAGTTAGGTAACACTAATAAATGCTCTGCCTGTGTGCGAGCGAGTGTGTGTKTATGCATTTGTGTGTGTACAGTCGAGTCCATTCAGGGAATTGTGCAGCGCTCACACGGGGTCCGAGGTGTCTCTCGGCCCGCCGTGCGCACTCTCCCACGCTCAGCGCCGCTGCCTGTCCTCGCACAGCTTCACCTCGGTCCCTCTGTGGAACAAACAGGGCCGCGCGCTGATCTGAAATCAGCATCTCGGCCCGTCTGGTCGCCTACAGTTTTTTTTTTTTTTCTCAGCGTCGGTAGGAAGGAAGTGACCCAACAGTGCGGCACCCGTCCTGCGCCGAACGCATTGTTGCCACATCAAGGCTCAGATATGTACAGTAGCTCAGCTGAAGTTTCCCACCCTCCTTGCTCCTCCGCGCTCCCAGCGCCTCCATACCTTAGAAACAAACGGCAGAGCTGTTTGTTTGAGCTCCATGGCGTGAGTAGTGCTGCCCACTGGTATCGATGGAGGAATCTAATCAGAGGACCTGTTAGGGATCAGGACAGGGAGGAGGAAAAAAACAAGCTGTAAATGTTTTGGAGCACAGATTTTTGTTTGTTTTTGATGGTATTGTGTGGGCAGGATGTCCCTGAAGCAACAAAAATYGTACAGCTGTTGCACTTAATGTAGATCTGTCAGTGTGAATTGGAGATTTAATTGTTTAATATTTACATTGTGCAGGTTAAAGCTCTATCATGCAAAGTTAGAAGCCATATGTGAACACCATCCAGAATCACTGCCATCTTCTCCGAGCCAAAGTTCTTTAAAAAAATGGACCGAGGCAAAGTGGAAAACTGTTTTGTGGTCAGACATATCGAAATCTAAAATCATTCTTAGGCTGTGTCCAAATTCAGGGGCAGCGTCCTTCGAAGGGCCCGGTCTACCTGGTCCTTCGAAGGTTTATAGCCTCGCAAGATTTTAATTTAAAACTGTACTTGTCTGCTCCGTTTCTCACTTCGTCCACCATTAGAAGCAAAATATCTCCCAGTCAGTGCGTCTTGGAAGAGAGCTCAGAAGAGCTGAGAAGGTTATACCGGGCCTATCTTTCAAACTGGGGGAAAAGGAGGACACATTTGTGGGTGGCAATTGGCGGAGCCCATGGAGTTTACATAGAACAGCTGGAGGGCACAGAAACCACGTGACCATGTGATCGACTAGTGAAGCTAACGGCTAACGCAAAACGGTCAAGAGTCTGGATTTCCCATTAC